ATGTGATTAGAAGCGCTTATCCATTATTGTATCGGGCGAATACTGCCAGTGCTATACTTGCTTTGTTTTTAATTTACAATAAATCACACCTTATCTGAGTACAGATGCATTTCTGGTTACAAATCGTGACTATGTTGACGTCGATGGCTATCTTCAAGAGAATCAGTCAACAGAGAGAGTGTTATCGAAAATGGTACTACCTGAAAGGTTAGACTGACCCAGCCGTGGCAATTGTATTATTTTATTATATTGTTAAATTGGGGCTGACGAATTTCGCGTCAAAACTAGAAAATCTACAAATTCGTTCTTAAAAGTACTATAAAACTTACAATAAAATTGCAACGTCTTGGCCATTCTAATACAAGGTGTGCCTTATCCACGTGTGTATTCTACGATAGATCGTGATCCCTTGCAACACCGAACACAAAAATTTGAATAATAACCCAGTCTTCTCAATTTCGGAGTCTCGGAGAGTTTCGACGCTGATTGAACATCGAATAATGATAAATACGCGTCGCATATTGTATGCAGCTAAGCTCGGAGCTGAGTAACGACTCAGCGTGCTGCAATAGTATTTACGACCAGTTAAGTTCGAGTTATACGCACAACTACGACCGGACTACAATGGCGACATTCGGTCGTACATCAGTCGTAGTCGGTCCGATCGAAAGATGTGCGGCCGGTTTTACACGTGACGCTCAACCGTCGCATATCATATCGTGTTTTGGCGTAAAATACACAACATCCGGAACAGTAAACTACTAGCATAGTGACTTCTATAGTTGTGAACATGCACACAAATATGAACGGACTACGTTCTGTAACGGCATTCAGTTGTACACCAGTCGTAGTCGATTAGATCTTAAGGTGTGCGGCCGGCCTTACACGTCCAACTCATTGAGCTATATCGTTTTTAGCGTCACAAATACACAGTATCCGGAACAGTAAACTATAACGACTTTTCAGAATCGATTTTCTCGTTCATGGGTAATGGGAAATGTGTGTCTTATGTCACGCCTTCTTAGTGCTTGGAGTCGTCGAGTCTCAAAATTCACCATCGAGGGAAACCTGAACGATATTTTATTATTTGGCTTTCAAATCCAATACGGTAAGCGATTTCACCTGTCCATATTCTGTATCAGCTGATTATTTATTTGCGTTGATGTTTTTTGACCCCTGAAAAAGGGGCAACCTGCGAAGCTGATATTTTCGAACACGAATGTTGAAGTCTACCAGCGGGCCATGATCACATGTTGGACCACACGCATGAACCTGATAACGCTCTCTTGGAAGGCTTGCCGAATACAATTCAACTTAAACGACAATGAAATACGTAGCCGGTTTCTCAAGTGCAACAAGTGTATATTTCTAGGGATAATATACAGTCTTAAATAAACGCTCAAACAAAGCGTTGTTTGGGATTAAATGAGGTGGGGTAAAACACCAAAAGCAGTCTGTCCATGCCGAGCCATTGAAACATACAATTCAATAAAAACATGCAACAAAAGACCCCCTAATGGACTGCGGACACGGCTGAATGAAGCTAATAAAACGGCTACTTGCGTCGCCGCGAGTCCGAATAAATATTACCCATACACAGTCTTTTGTTCCACCACGCCGTCGAAGGTTTACTCATTACAGTACAAAAGAATTCAACATATTTGAATCATTCATAATATTGCCAATGAACTTGACTGTCAGATTAAAGTGGCATACCGGTTAAAGTAATCTCTTCTGTTTTTATTTCTAGTATATATTGGCGATTTGATACCGTGCGTAAACCTCTCAACCAATATACCAATATACACATAAATTGCCACGTGATAACGCTTTTCGTGGTCATTGAGTCGTAACAGAGAACAAGCGTTCAAACTCCACAAACTCGCATGAAATTCTTGGTGCTCTCAAATGATAAAAGTCACATTCTTTCGGAATAAACAAAAATATTTTTGGTTATGTCGTTGGTATCGCGTGACACACTTGAACACTAAGATAATACACTTCAAATTTGAGATGAGAGCATCGTAGTATTGGGGCCGATGATTTCCGTTACAGGTTATCGTGACTTCATTTCCTCCACTATTTTGTAATATGTTTAATATTGGATGACGTAAACCCTTATATATATAGTAATAAACTTTAAATAAATAAACGAGTACAAACAATTCCCATTTAATGTATCAATCCAGTCACAGTGAATACACAAATATCCTGAACCCTTAGCACTAGAATTCACGTCACGTACTATAATGTTACCAATGTGAATCGTAACCACGGATACCGAAGATTACATACGTGTCGAGTTTGAAAAAATAATAAATAAAATCGTGATTGTCGATAAATATTAATATATGTGGTTGAAATCTGAACGCGTTTTTCATTACAGAGAGTATGTTAAACAAGTGGCATCCCCTGACATGCATATTGAACACGCCACGTGCAGTAGTTATCCCGGGGCAAGGAAAGTTTCACATGCCCATAGCCCATGCCATCGACTGAAATATCTTGAGAATTGCGTTTTATTAAACATATAAAAATGAGAACTGTAAAACCTTTCTGATTATACTGTTTTGTGAATTGGTCAGAAAAGTGACCCTACCCTTTCCTGGCGAAGGACTGTGGTACAACGTATATGTGGCCCGCCACGCTGGCAAGTGACTGGGACTACAAGCCGGGAGACAAGTCACAAGGAATATAACGTTTTATTTGTATTTGTTCACTATCCACAGGAAGAATCTGGTTGGATTCGTTGCGCTGTGATGGAAACGAGAGTAGTATCAAAGAGTGTAGCCATGCGCCTTGGGGAGTCACTGACTGCAGCCATGATGAGGACGTCGGTGTTCGTTGCAAGTCGTCCATGATCGCTAACACAGATTTCGAAGATAGTGAGAGTGAATCCAATCAATTAACATCAGACAACGAAGACGTAAGTGATCATCATCAATCACTGGGGAGCCTAGGGAGCTGGTGATTGGATGAGTGCTCAGCGAGACCCCTCCCCCTCATAATGTCAAAATTTGCTTTAAATCGCAAGAAATCGCAAAACTGGCACTAAAAAATACCACAACTCATCGAATTGGCGTTGCCCCACTGATGCGTATTAGGGTGCATACGCATCCTGTGTGGGCGTATGCCTCGGGGTGGGGATTCACCACATGTTACTTGATGTTGATCCATAGCCATGGTTACCAACGATAATAACATATTATTGTAGAGGTAATTGATTTCCCTAACATGTGCATACTATGTATCCAGCGCGTATCAAGTTGTTGGTTAAATTCAACTTGACACTCGAGATGTCTGTGTAGTTAATCTTAATAACACCTTGTGGTATGTTTGTGTTTGTATTTGGTGGAAAGCTGCATGGCGTGGTATCCACATTGGAACCTTGATTGTGGAAAGCAGACACAAAAATGTGAACTATTCGCCCGAAAGGGGAAGTACTTTTTTTTTAAATTGATGAATTTAATTCAATGACAGTGTGAGAAAGGAAAAGTATGACTTTTGTTTATTTGGATATCGAGCCACTTATACCCCATGTACAGTTGTCCCAATTCGTCTTACGGATGCTTAAAGTGGATATCATACATTGCTGATTGTTGTTTTGACCGCTGTTTACATTTCGTAAAAGTTTCTTTGCTGTTTTGTAATGGACAAGTCATGTTAGGCACGGGCCCCGCTTTTAGTCATGTTGTTATAGTGTGGGTTTTCACCTAAGGTAGTGTTCTTAGATCAATCACATGTTTAGTAATCTTGGTTTAGGTTAGATATAGAATTTAGAGGTAAATAAATAAATATAAATCAGCAATGATGACGATGAGCACCACCACCATCACCCCACTACTACAACAACAGCAACAAGCACCGTCCTACTAAACACAGCAACCTGAACATCCTCAGTACCACCTTCACAACACAACAACAAACCAGAAGGAAACTCATATGTCAGTGTTGCACTCATTTCAGTCTGTAGGCAGACGCGAACATGGTCCAATGAGGGTAGATCTGAACGTGGGTTCATTGAAAGTTCGACTCCGAGGTCGGAGGACAGCCTACCCTAAATCAGAAGGCTACGTAGAAGTGTACTTCAGAAACAGATGGCGACCGGTGTGTGCAGATGGCTGGGATATGGCGGATTCCAGAGTCGTGTGTGGACAGATGGGTTTTAGCGAAGCTATTCCAATAAAACTGTTAGAGTTTAAGTGAGTTCAATATATACCTATGAATATCACACATTTCACACGCGTTACCATTTTCTATGTTTGAAAAAATTATATATTCTCGTTCATATTGCATGCAATTCTGAACAAAACATTAAAAAGTACTCAACGTCATTGCTGCTGTCTACTTCATCAATTCCGGAATGAGCATTCGACTGTCATCGGATGACTCTTAAAAATGCGGGCAGAACAAATTGTTATTTTTTCAAGTTAGCAAAACCATAATGTCAGGGCGCCCTCTTAGATAAGACTCAGCGTATATGCTCCGAGCATAAATCACGGTATGTACAAGAGGTATGTTTACTTAGAAGTCGAGGGTATGCTTTGCGATTCAAAATAATAACCCGGCTTTCGCCATTTACACATGCACATAAAAAAAACAAAAAAAAAACAAGAGACTGTATGCAAGTCTAGATTCAAAATAAAAAAACGCATAGACACAAATGATGTGTGTATTAGTGGCAGTGGCGGATCCAGAGGGGGTCGGGGGGCATTCATATCATCTGGATTACGCATAGCTTCTCTGCGATTTTCGCTCCGTAATGTTAAGCGAAGCTCCCCCCCAATACATTTTGCTGGATCCGCCACTGATTAGTGGTGCGACTGTTTTGAATTTACTATTTGTGGCATTGTCATTGGCAGGGATAAGATGCGAACACGAATGCAAAACGCATGGCTTACCAATGTTACGTGTAGAGGAGTGGAGTCAACGCTACAGGAATGTTCTTATCACACACTCTCAAACGCGGAACAGTGCATATCAGGGATGCCTGCAACGGCTCGATGTGAAAGGGGACATTTCGTTGAAGATTCCAGAGGCAAAAAGACCGACAATGTACTTTCTGAATACTTGGGAGATGATGCCATATTGGTTAGTATTGTTTATCACTAGTGCTCAAGTCAATGGACTGCCCTCCTCAGCACCCCTCCACGTGGATTCTTTTCCGAATGTTTGGAGTTACTTACATACACATACCTTTAATACATGCAGCCAAAACGAGAAAAAATATTTCCTTTTTTTTTTATAAATTTAATAAATTCCGCTCAGTATACCATATTTCGTTGACAGGTAACCTTATGATATTAAAGCGGGA